GCAAAATGGGACCTTGAACCTCATTCAGGTTACTGAAGACTTTAGAAGTATTGATAAAGCATCCAATATGTCAACTTCCTGTTACGGAGTCTCCACTGTCCCCTACTTCTGTTCTTGCGTGTGTCTATAGTTCATGGCCCAAGTCTGGCCACACCTGAACCCTTTGGGGCATTGTCCAGGCCAGTGCTCTCCTGAGGGAAGAAGAAGAGGTGAGGGCAAAGCTCTTTCACGTTGTACAGTGGTGACACTGAGAAGTTCTGTCCATAGTCCTGCCCACAAATATCCCCACCTCTCCCCTCTGTCTTCCCAGAAGAGTCCAACCTTCTGAGAGCTGCCTTGAGTCCCAACAAAACTCTGAACCCTTTCTGCAGAGCTGTCTGAACAGCACTTTGCATCAAGGCAGCATCTAGGCAGACCCATATTGCTTTCTCAGCCCAACAAACTCTTGCTTGAAGGTGCCTTGCCTGCAGATCTTGGGTGAGTTATAAAGGCTCTTTGGCCAAACCACCTGGCTCTCACCCATCAAGCTTGTCTAGTGTCTGGCTATGCTAATGTTCAGGCATTTTATGAGATGTTTAACAAGTCTGGTCATCCTGCTAGAAGGAAGTCCTGGAAGAGAGTCCATATGAGTCCAAAATCTCAGTCTTCCGGCCTCAGTGACATCCCCCACCCAATGTCCACCCTGAACTCAGACCAGGAAAATGTACATCCAGCCCGGGTTCAGTGACTATGGGGGCAACGTGCCTGCTAGCCAGATGGTCAAGATCAGAGATGGAAACTTTAGACAGCATGTCATGTGAGCCCCTGAGACCCTGCCTTTTCCCTCATCACAGAGCAGCACTCAAAGGTCCTGGCTATGGTCCTGGCTGGCTACCTGCTTCCTCATCACAGCAGTGGCCACCATGCTGAAACCATTCAAGGCAGCCCATGAGTCGATCCATGAATGACAATTGATTTCAGGTATGATGAACACACTTAACCAAGCATGTGGCCCGCAAAGCCCCGCAAGCGATGTGCTGTTTCGGAGATCCTGCCCCTTCCGTGAGCAAGGGACAGCACTCAATGTTCCACGGCAGAGGCCCTCCAAGCTTTGTTTTATAAAATGAGATGAGGGACCAGGACCGTGTTGTCTGCTTTCCTATGAGCAAAGAAGCATGGGGACAAGGGGAGTTACCGCAGCCTAGAGCCCATTCATGGGGGAGAGAACTGCCCAGAGACAGGGCTCCCAAGGAGCATGAGCATTTGCAGGGGCTGCTTCAGCCTGCCCCCCACTTTCTCCGCAGGCTGCCTACCCGTGAAGGGCAACCGTGTCCTCCTTGTAAGCCCAGCTACCCCACTGCTCCACACGAGTATTTGCCAGGGGTGCCCATGTGACCGTCTTCACCATCCTCCCCTCCCACCCCGCCCCCGCAGGGTCAAGGTTTACCTCAATGCCGGGAGTCACAGCACATGGTTTTGCCTGGAGATGATCCTTGGCCCAGCTCTGGCTTCCCGCACATGTGATCTGATGCCTGAGCTGTGGGCCTGTTGTTGCTGGGGCCCCCGCTGGCTGGGTCCCACAGCAGTCTCTGAGGAGGGTGGTAAGAATGTCTCCCTGGGGCCCAGTTCCGGAGCTTGTCTTGCTTCCAGATGATGCTGTCATGGACTGAGCCCTCAGCTCGGCCCCCACTCTGCTTCCTGGCCCACGTAACTGTCTCAGGAGGGCAATGTTTCTCGCTATAAAAATGGGTGGTCCATCTTGTTAACTCAGCTGAGCGTCATGGGTTGGTTAGCTGTAAGGGCCAAGGTGGGGTGGGTGGGGGGCCGCTCTTGGCCTTGGCCATAAAAGAGCCCTGGCTGCGGAAGTCCCTACTGGGGTTGAGACCCCTGCTGAGCCAGGAGGGTTTTAAGATGCTGGCATCTTCTCCCATGGAGGACCTCAGGCCCCCAGGTCATTATCAAGGTTCTAGAAACACCAAGGGCATTAAAGAAGAGGAAGGACACCATTTAAGTGCAGGCATTGGTTTACATAGAGGAGATTCTTAAAGGGGCCCTAAGAAGACAGGATTCGCATGTAATCACGAACACTTGAAGCGCTTTAAAAAGCAAAAGGCCCTAAGGAGTGGGTGTAAACCGACTCAGAGAAGGAAGAATAGCTCTGAGGAGAGTGAGAAAGGCTTCAGCAAGGAAGTAGCAATCCAGAGCTTCTTGAAAGGGGAAGGGGTCTCTAAGCCTCAGGAGCACAAGGGGTAGGCCCCCCTGCCCATAGTGTGGGTCGTGGCCGTGACCCACGGCCGGCCGCGGCAGCCACATGTTGGGAGGGAGAGGAGAGCCTTGCTCCCCAGCTCCTGAGCCCTGCTGGCAGTGCCCTCCTTATACCCGCCCCCCCTCCTTACCTCATGCAGTGCCCCCCTGCCACCTTGGCTCCCTGGCCACTCTCCTGAGCAGTGGGGGGCAGACCGCAGCTGCAGAGCTGGGCCACTTCCTCCTTCCCTCACTGTCTCCGGAGGAGCCCACTTTCAGCCTGCGCACTTCTCGTCTCTTCCCCACCGTGAGTCTCACCTGAGACCGCAGCCTGGCAGTGCAGTGTGGCCAGGTGCTGTGTCCTAGTTCCAAGGCTCTGCTGCTGGAAAACCATTCCGCTCTCTCTCTAAGTTAAATCCTCCACCCTTCTTCCATAGAAGGCCAACATCCCCTGTAAATGTGTGGCATGTCTGTCTGGTTCGAACCCCAGTGCCACTGACTGGGCCCCTCCAGACCCCGGGGATGCTGGGCTGGGAAGAACTGGCAGGTGGGCAGCCCACTCCCACACCTCCCCCCTCCCCAGGCCGGCTCTGGTAGCTCATTCTTGGACCCCATGAAACTTGTATCCTTACAATAAAGTCCCTTTTGACTTGCACTGAAGCTGAGTAAGTTTTGAGTCTTGCACCTAAATTTGTCCCAAGGTGGAAAGAGCAAGGGGTTGGCTCCCCTGATGGCTGAGTCCCTTCTCTTCCTGTTTGTCAACCTCGTCATCTGTGCTAAAGTAGACCCGGCCAGACAGCACTCTCCTGTCTGACCAGCACTCCGCAGTAAAATGCAGTGTGGCGGGAGCCGGCCGGGCAGCAGGCAGCCTGGGGCCGTGGACTCCATCACACCTCACCAAAGAGCCAGGGAGCTGAGCAAAGCAGGCCTGACTCAGGCCCTGTGGGAGCCAGAGGGGCTCCCAGTCGAAATTCCCTGTCCCCCAGGGGGCAAAAAGAGGGAGGAGCTCGTTTTGCCCCAGACTGAGGGGGTCCCAAGGTCGCCGGACTTCCAGTCTCAAAACCAAGAAAGTCCTGGCCAAACCAGCTCAAGTTGGTCACCCCCAGAGGCAGCTCAGGTACAAGGAAAAGAAGAATCTGGGACTTTCTGTGAACTTTGACTCCAGCATAATTAAAGGCTAATTGAAGCCTAAGTTAAATCAGAACCCTTCCCAGGATGCCTGGGTGGCTCAGGTGGTTAAGCGCCTCCCTTCAGCTCAGGGCCAGACCCCAGCGTCCTGGGATCGAGTCCTGCCTCGGACTCCCCACGGGGAGCCTGCTTCTCCCTCTGTCTCTGTCTCTCATGAATAAGTAAATAAAATCTTTAAAAAAAAATCAGGACTCTTCCTTTTTGGTAAAATAGAAATATTATCAATGCAGAAGGGATATTATGAGAACACATGGAAGTTGACAGGCACTTGTCTTACTGGAAGTTTCTCTAACTAGTCCTTGACCCTAATCCCAGGAGAGTTCCAGTTTCATGTGAATTTACTGTTCCCTTTTGCATGCTTGCAGACAAAATTATAACCCACATTTACACGGGTGGAAACACCATTGGGTTTATGTTCTCCTTTCTCCTCTACCCTCCTGAAGTTTTTTATTCCGGCTTCCTTTCCCCCATAACCCACCTGGGGCATCCTCTCTACTCAGGGGTGTGATTCGGATGCCTGTGCACATCATGCTTCTCCGCATCAGGTTTCTGGATACTTACACAATTCATCACAGGGTTAGGGCTGCGGGGCTCCCATTCTGGAGGATGGTCCCAGACAGAGAATGGGATCTTGAGGCAGGTCTACATTTGGCATCAAGATTAGTGGAAACAAGTAGAAACTGAGGTGCTTCACTAAATAGAAGCCACTGTTATTTTTAAACTGAGAGCTCAAAAAATAAAAAATAAAAATAAAATAAAAAATAAATAAATAAACTGAGAGCCCAGAAGAGCTCAAGGTCTGTTATTAACAATCTGTATGACCTTTGCATCTGTTCTTCTACCTATAAAATAAAGAGGTATTGAGGAGAGGGCGGAGGAGAGAAATAGCAGAGCACAGAGGATTTTTAGGACAGTGAAGACACTTTGTTGTATAATGATGGACATATACCTCACACATTTGTCCAAACCTACAGAATGTGCACTACAAAGAGTGAACCCAAAGTGAGCTCTAAACTTTGGGTGTCCTACATGGATACATCCATGGTTTATTGGTAAAAAAATAAAAACAAACAAAAAAAACCCCACCATCCTGGTGAGTGATGTCAGTCATGAAGGAAGCTATGCCTGTGTGGAAGGTACAACGTATGTGCCCATCTCTGTACTTTCCTCCTTAATTTTGTTATAAACCTAGAATTCTACAAAAATAAAGCCTTTAAAATAAGCGAATGATACAATAAAGGAGATGACTTCTCAAGTTCCTTCCAGTTCAAGTGTCATATGAGTCTGATTAAAATTATGTGGCCATTAAGCAATTCGAAAGGAATTATGTCTCGAAACGTGAAAGCTAGCAGACCGAGGAGGAAGAGCACTTGAGGCGAGGACAATCTGCTTCCCAGGCCGGGACTGCTGGCTGTGGTAGGGACTGATGATGATGGAACGCAGCGGGGTTTTATGAGAGCCTGTGAGTAGGCAGCCTGAGCAGCCTATACATTCGTCATGTCTGAAAATCCTTCTCCCTGATACTGAATGCCAGCAGAGCTAACCACTGCTACTTGCCCAGACGAAGGACTTATTGATCCAGAAAAAGGAACGGTTAGCCAGCATTGCTTTATTGGCTCAACAGCAATGGCTTTTTCTAGGGAGGAAACCCCACATAAAACTATTGCAGACGGAATCCTGGATCGAGGCGTGATAACTCAATGTTATCCGCTATGCCAAATTCCATGGTACCGATGTGATCTCCAATTTGAGAGAAGAAACATACCACCCACCCTCCCCGAAAAAACTCAAGTCCTGGAGAGACTCAGGAGAGCCAAGGGGAGTCTCTCGGCTTTTGTCCTTTCCTCCGTTCCTCCTCCACTACTCCAATAGAACAAATATAGAACAAATAGAACGGATGGTTGGGGGAGGATACACTGATCAGTCACCCCAAGTGCCAGGGAGACACATACAAATGCAGATCCTGTCCTCAGGGTCCCCAGCTTGAGGGCGGAGGGATAAACATCCAGGAAATGAAGAGCATAAGTAGATGCTGAGCTGAATGATTTCGACAAGTGTTCCTGGAGGTCAGTGCTCTAGTGTTTCTGGAGTCTTCTGCGGGGGCCGGTGAAATACACTCTGAGATACAGACCCATCTGATGCCAACACTGCTGGTCTGCGGACCACATTCAGTGGTAAAACGTGCTCCATCTAGACCGTAACGAAAAACTGGAGAATGAGGACACAAGTCTGGGCTGATATTGGCAGGGAAGGGTTAATGGTAGTTGAAGCTTCAAGAAGGGCCAGGGCTTGAATAAATGAGGGAAAGAGGGTGTTCTGGGAGAGAACACTGGTGAGCAGAGACAGGAAGGTGGAAGGAGGATGACGAGGGTAGAGATGACCACGCCAAAGGCCATTGTCACATGCTGGCATCCGCCACGGATGCAGGCTTGGGCTCCACGTGCAAGTGCCTCACTCCCTTCGCCGCCTCATCTCCTCCCCACGCAAGAGGTGGCTCCAGTTCCAATATGTCTACTGACAGCTGGGCTTCATAATGGAAACGATGATTGTCCTGCGAGCCCCACTGACAGCTCCCAGTCCTGGCGGTGCAGCCAACTTGGATGGCGTCTCACCTGGCTTGCTGCAATGGCTTGTTGCTTGGCAGCCTGAGAGGACTCCCACTTTTCTTTTCAGTCTCGAGCCAGAGGAGCCTCTGGCCTCCAAGAGTTGAGTCCTTGAAGGCACATGGGGTGGTTATGAATTGAGCAGACAGCCAAGGACAAACCGGTATGTTGTGCAGGGTGTTTGGTCCTGAGCCCCGCTCCTGATCTGGTCAGGAGGAAGGGAGATAAGGCCCCTTTGGAAATCTTTAGTTTGCAGGCTCATTCTGACCAGGTGTTTGCTCCTCCTTTCGCAGGCGGCATTTGTGGGTGCAAGGACATGACGGCACACGTGTAAAACACCTGTCGTCTGGAAATTGAACTGATATTTACTAGGTGCTTAGATTCCCAGCGCTGCTGTGACAAAGCGCCACAAACTGGGGAGCTGGTAACAGCAGAAACGTGTTCTCTCCCAGTTCTGGAGACTCTGCAAGTCTGAAATGGAGGTGCCAGCAGGGCCATGCTCCCTCCAGAGGTGCTAGGATAGGACCTTTCCGGGCCCTCCTCCAGCCTCTGGTGGCCCCAGGTGGTCCTTGGCACATGGCTGCAGGCCTGCAGTCTCTGCTTCCATATTCACATGGCTCTCTCCTGCGTCTGAATCCAAGTTTCCTTCTTCAGAAGACATCAGGCTCCAATATGATCTCACCTTAACTAGTTACATTGCAAGCGCTCCCTTCCCAAATAGCATCCCGATTCTGAGATACTGATGGTTAAGACTTCCAACGTAGGGGGATCCCTGGGTGGCTCAGCGGTTGAGTGCGTGATCCTGGAGTCCCAGGATCGAGTCCTGCATCGGGCTCCCGGCATGGAGCCTGCTTCTCCCTCCTCCTGTGTCTCTGCCTCTCTCTCTCTCTCTCTCTCTCTCCCTCTCTGTCTACATAAATAAATAAATAAATCTTTAAAAAAAAAAGACTTCCAACGTATCTTTTGGGGGGACACAATTCAACTCGGAACAGGTACCTGTTACAGAGCTGTGTTAAAACATAAAGTCCCTGCTGAATTCACTTTGTCTTTTAGAGGACTTTCTTCCTCTAAACTAGAACAGTGAGCTGTTTAAATAAAAATAAACACAAGTACACATCAGGCCCTTTTTCAAGATCAACTGAGAAATAAGGGATCAAACACTTGTCCACCCCATACCTGATAACCAGCAATGCATCTGTAAGACCTAAGCAGCAAGTTAAGGAGTAGATCTGATAAGGAATTCACTATCTACCTAACATAGTAGAGGCCCCTCTGTGTGCCAGGCTCTGGAGGTGCTGATGATGGAGCAGCGAGCAAAGCAGCCCCAAATCCCCACCCTGGAGTAGCCTATGCTCCAGGGGGACAAGACAGGGAGACACGAGGAATAAACACAGGGTATGGGTAGACAGAGGAAAAAGGAAAAAGTGAGATGTGAGATGACGGGGGGGGGGGGGGGGGGGGGGGGGGGATTTTCCGTGTCTCAGCAGGGTGCTCTGAAGACTGCCCCACCGTTAGGTGACAAAAGATCAAAGGCCTGAAGGAGGAGAGGGCAGGGGGTGGGGATGAGGGGCAGGGAGGGAGCCCCAAACACAAGCTTGAGATGCCCGACTGACTGAGGCGCTTTGGGAAAACTCTGCTGCTTGCTCTGATAGAGGAGCAGAGCCTGCGTGCCTGAGAGACCAGAGACCTGCAAATAAAAGGGGGGGGGCAAGTTGGGGGGAGGGGTGCCTGCAGGCCTGTGCCCCTGCTGCTGGGGGGTCTGAGGCCGGGGGTCTGAGGCTGGGGGTGTAGCCCCAGGAGCAGCAGAGAGCAGAGTGGGGAGCCCCCAAGAGCTCCAACTCCGACAAGCGCAGGTTGCACTGTGGCAATGCCCATCTTAAAAAGGGCACTCTAAGAAAGGGGAAATAGGTTTGAGTAGATGTGGTGCCAGAAGGACAGACTCAGAGGTTGTTGTTGTGTTTTTGTTTTTTTCATGAGACAGAGACACAGGCAGGAGGAGAAGCAGGCTCCCTGCAGGAAACCTGATGTGGGACTCAATCCCAGCACCCCAGGATCATGACCTGAGCCAAAGGCAGATGTTCAATCACTGAGCCACCCAGGTCATCCACTCAGACGTATTCTTGGTACAAACTGGCCAAAATTGCCTAGCAGGCATAGATCCACAAAGGTGGTGAAAAGAACTAAAAACTAATGTTTTAAAGATGTGAGTGGTGGGAACAGGAAAGTGAGCGGTTTGACGCTTTGTTTCCAGCTGTTCTGGTTAAAGCAGTCACCTCTGGAGGGGAATGTGGAGGAGGAGGGGAGGGGGGGATCTTAGTCTCCATTTAGCTTTTAATTTTTATTACCATATGCATTATTAATTTTATAACAAAAAACTGGCAAGCCTTCTTAATGTGGTTTTTTAAAATCATGGGTCCAAGCCGAACAAGGCAGATTTCTACATTTTTACATAGAGGAATGTCCAAGATAATCAATAATTTATTTTTTTTTAATTTTTATTTATGTATTCATGAGAGACACACAGAGAGAGAGGCAGAGACATAGGCCGAGGGAGAAGCAGGCTCCCTGCAGGGAACCTGATGCAGGACTCGATTCCAGGACCCCGGGATCACAACCTGAGCCAAAGGCAGTTGTTCAACCACTGAGGCATCCAGGTGCCCGATAATTTAAATCACTGAATGACATGTATGCCATAATTCCGTGCATGTACATGCATACATGAGTCTGCTGTGTATTTGTACATGGAGAAAGATCTGGAAGGGATAGATACAGTTTAACAGTGGTTCAGATGGGTGATGGGGGGAGTTCCTTTCTATAATACATCTCTGCGCTTTTGCCTACTTTTCAAAGGAGTACTTACATCCGTTGTAATTTGGTTAAAGCCTTCCTATACTTCAGTATACTTCAGTATACTTCAGTCAGAGGTCAATTAATCTTCTCATAATCCAAACAAGAATTATTGAAATTTCAAATAAACAAGCCGTAGAAACTTCCAGCTGCTTTTCTCCTAGTCTTGTGAGAAATACTTAAGAGACTATATAATGGTAAACTCTATTAAAGTTGGTTTTATCAATAGAAGTATCACATTACAGAGGCACCTGGGTGGCTCAGCAGTTGAACGTCTGCCTTCGGCTCAGGTCCTCAGGTCGTAATCCTGGGGACCTGGGATCAAGCCCCACCTCCTCTGCCTGTGTCCTGTCTCTGCTTCTGTGGGTCTCTCATGAATAAATAATTTTTTTTAAGATAAAACTTTTTAAATTATTTTTTAAATAAAGGTATCAAATTATAAATTGTTTAAAACTAAGCATGACTCTTCTAACAGAATGAACACACGGCAAATGTCTATTTAACTCATGAAAGAGAGAACCACCAGGACTGTTAAAGAACATTTGAGATATTGAGTATTTATAGTCAATGAAGAAAGAATTGGGAAATTAAGTCACTAGATTAGAATCAAAACTAGTTAATGTTCTCCAATGTGATAAAAACCACGATCTTTGGGGTCATCATTTCTACCAGAAAGAAATCAGTTTTGTCTCCTCTGGACAAAAATCTGTAAATTACATGTAATCTCAGAGAATTAAAAAGTCCCCGGGGAGCGGAGAGGGTGGCGGGGGAGTGGTCTGTTAGGTCATGCTCTGCAGATTATTGAAAGGATACACAATCTTCCTTTTTGCCTTATTTATAGATGGATACTTTTTCTTAAAATAAGATAAGAATTTACATATTGCAGCTGTGGCTTTCCAATTTCCAAATGGAGTTTGCTCTTAGTATTAATCTGCTTTTCACCATCTTCTGTGCCTGTTTTCAATCAGGAAAGAAAATTACCAACAAGCAATTTTAGAACTGCAATAATGTTTGACTGTAAAAACCAATCTTAATATTGTTTTGCTACTCACCTTGATGGATGCTAAGACAACTTATGAGCAATTTAAATTTTGTCCCAGGATCAAAGAAAGAGTTCTTGTGTCTGCTTTGAGTTGATGCCAGCAACAAAAATCAATTGATACTAACTGCAGTTTTGAATGTTTTCATAGATTTTGGAACATAACCTTGGGCAAGTTACTGAATTTCTTAGCCTCAGCCTCACCCTCCTCAAAAAATAAGACTTCTTCACAGCGTTCCTGTGAGATTATACGCTGGCGGACACAGCCCTGGGAGTGCCCTGCTGTGCTCTTCGCTCACCATTTGTGTACATTCACAGGTCATAATTTTTGCTTTTGGGGCTTCCCTTGTGGGTTTTTAAATCATTTGTCTTTTTGCTACATGGATGTATTCTTTCATTATCATGTGATTTTGAGATAATAAACTATGTTTTTAAATCTTGTCAATTGTTTTACTTCTCAAAAAAAAATGTATTTCTCACCTTTTTTCCTTTTTTATAAAGAATATAACAATGTTTTGTTTTTTTAAGTCCCCTAACATTAGATGTGAAATTTAAAAGATCTCTCTCTGACCAGATGCCATTTAAGCTGGAATCGCTTTCCAATAATTTGTCCCATTTTTGAGAAATGTAGAAAACACCAAAACATGAATTTATCAGGAAGCTATTATAATACCACACTTAGCTCATGTAGTGATTGTTCAGTTCACTTTTCACTAGGATCTTGAAAAGTTATACCACGTGTTTGTCAACAATTCTTATAAACAGCAACCTCTTCATTCAAATACAGTAAATAAATATGTTGGAAGTGAAATTTCGGTGTCACAGCTTCAGGCAGAGCCATATCCTCCCAGTGACCCAACACGAGTTGGCGTGGATGAGACGAACCTTCAGCACTCTCCATTCTGTCTGTAAGCTCTTCGGTATTGGTATTGGTTCAGTATAAGGTTTTTAGGCAAGAGAGAGGTTTAGAAACTCTGAGTTAAAATTTTAAAGGGGATTAGATTTGGCAGAGATTATACTAAAATCCACCTTAAATGCCAAATTGATTTGCCCTGAAGGCAGGTTTGCATCTGCCACATCCCAAGAAAGGCTTACTAAGGACGTGCAAACTGATGGGGGCACAAGACTAAGCAGTGAGTGGGGGGACGTCAGAGAAGCCTGTGAAAGAAAAACCAGAGAAGATCCAGGAGACTGCAAAGAGATAAAGACCAAAAGCTCCTGTTCCACCAGCAGAGTGGTTTGCTATCATAAAGCTAGTCTGTTGGCTTCATTCAGTCCTAGATTTCAGAAAAAAACATAAATAGCTCCAGGCTTTCAATTAGCATTAATCTTCTAAGCTCAAAAGTAACATACGTCCATTTATTCTCTTACCTTACTTTGTAACAAACCACAGTTTTCTGCCTTGTTTTTGCAGACAGAAAAGCTGGAAGACGACATAGTTGGGGTACTTTTAGTAGAACTACTAAAATGGGAAAAATCTGAGCAATAGCACACATAAAAGAGTATCTTTAAGGCACACAGCAAAGCTTATTTAATAAAAGAGAAATTTAGAATCTGCGTCATGCTTACAGCTTTGACCCAGTGATAAAAATAGATTATTCTTCAGTTATCTCCAGTAAAGACAAGAGAAAAATAAGTATCTGGGTTCTAATCACCAAGTGTTGATTCTGACCTTCAGTGATTTTATCTTTTTCTTATAAAGGATGAAAAATCATTGAATCCAAGAAACCAAATAAATTGTTTTATGGAGTTGTTTTTTGGTGGTGTTTTTTGTTTTTTGTTTTTTTAATATTACATCTGACCCTAGTCAAAATTAAGGAAAGAGAATAGAAGCCAAGAAAAGGAGTACCTGGGTGGCTCAGTCCAGAAATCAAATTTTTTAAAATAAAAAATTGAAAATGAAAATAAAAAATAGAGCTTTACTGAAGAAAATGCCACATATTTCTTTAAATATTTTATTGTAATAACATACAACTATGCATTGATATTATTTACATTTTATGAAAAGCATACTTATTCAACATACTCAATCTGAAATTAACTACTTTAAATATATCATTTAACTCTCAGTGCTAATGCATGAGTATCTTTATCTCAAATATAAATCAAAATAGCTGAACAAACAAAAAAAATTGCTTAACACCTATTTTACGTTATAAGCAATGAGATGTCAAGTATTAAAAGGATCATGAGTCAATTTTATTTCAATAATTTCTTCTTCTGTTTTTCTTCTTTGTCTAAAATAGTCTGTCTTAAGCTCAGTGTAGCATCTTGAAATTCAGGATTTAAGTTTAGTACCTTCTTAAAATCTTCCAAAGCATCATCAAAGTAGCCTGTACCAGGACCCCAAAAATGAAGAAGAATAATAAAACTGAGTATTTCCAAACATTCTTCCTAGTAAAGTTCAGATACACATGCTTTTATATTTATAAACTTTCAACTACACCTAGTATTTTTTTTCTCTTATGATATATGGATGTGTGTATCAAAGTAATTTTGCATGCCTTTATAGAATAATTAAAATTAAAATTTTAAATTAGCTTTAAATTAACATTTAAAATTAGCTCTGGGTTTTTTTCTTGAGATTTAAAAGGCAAATAGCATAAATCGCCATAAAATCTCAACAAAATCCTATCACCTATTTTACGTGATTACAGTAAAATTAAGAAACAGAAAATTAGTATTCTTTTTAACACTTTAAAAAAGAAACAGTACCTACAGTCCCTTTAATCCAAGGATCTAAAACCCCTTCACTTTATATGGTCTCATGTGCCTTTAAAAATTTTAACTCAGAAAAGTTTCACAGGTGGTCCTCAGCATTGTCCTCATTTCGCAGTTGGGACTGCACAGGCACAGAGTAATGGGGTCACCCTCATCCGGCGTCAGGTCCAATCCCCACCCCAGTGCTCCACTGTGGTCTGTAAAGCCTACCAAAAGCCTAAAATAAATGCTTCCCTTTTTTCGGGCTTGTACACCCGAATTTGATATAATTTAAGACTTGATGATTACTACATTAGTTTCATATTTGAGAGCTCTAAATTCATAAAATGTAGTCAAGGACAAAAGGGGAAAAAAAAAATTCTTACCCAGCCTATACAATATCAACCCTCTGTTGTAATATGGAACTTCAAAAGTGGGTTGGACTTCTATGGCAGATGTGTAGTCATCCATGGCTTCATAAAAATCAACCCTGAAGTACTTGATTTGCCCCCTGTTGTTATATGCAGTAGCCAAATCCTCGGGGCTGCATTTGCTTTAAACAAAAAGTTCACATTAAAAACGTGCGTTCCCAAATTCCTCTCGTTTCCACTTTCATTCTCTTTGGGGTATTGTCAAACTTCGTAGCCTGTAACATGCAGTATCTACGCTGAGAAGCCACGCTGAAGAAATGAAGTGCAAAGAAATAAAGCAATGGAATTGATTTTTGTCTACATGGTAGGGTGGAAGCGCTACCACGTCAGCCCGAAAAACACATTAATTTTATAGCATGTTTGGAGCCCCCGCTCATTGTCAACTGGTTTTGCAGAATGTAATATTCAAATGGTTGTTCCTAAGCACGCACCAGCGGGGCAAAGACAGATCGGATTCGTGCTGAGCAAGGAGAAAAAGCCAGCCCAAAAGTTCCAGTTTGCAATGGACATATCACAAAATCAATCACCAGTGTTATTCTCAAATTTTTAAGTGATCCCACCAAAAATGAGATTTTAAATCATTTTTCACCAGTAAAGAAGCACAAGTTAGCCGTAAGTGAAGATTCAACATGTTGTCGCCCAAGGCGGGGAGACAGCTAGCTGCCTTCCCTCTCGTCTCAGCTGGAATTGCCCCCAAGGCTAAACTGGCCTCCTGCAAGGAGGACGGACATCGGGCTCAAGTCCATTCTGGGGGTCCTGTGTGCAGAATGGGCTCTGCTTTGGAAAGCTCCAGAGGCTGCCCCCCGGAGCTCAGACCAGCCACTGGCTCAGCAGGTCACCCTCTCCTGCCAGACGATTCCGTTTGCATGGAGAACATTAATGGACTCTGCTCCGTGTCAGAGACAGTTCTGTTTTCCTTTCTTTTTTTCCAAAGGGATTCTCAAATTTGAACCAAACAGAAAAGGTGCAAGCTACATTTACCTGATTTCTTCATTATGCCCCATAGCGCAAAGTATAGTCCTCAGAAAATATTGTGACTGCAGTTAGTGCTATTGAGAGACTTAATATCTAGATCCCTGACATCTGACAGGCACAGCAACCACTGGATACAAGAGGCACTCACAGGGGGCTCCTGCAAGAGTTCACCAATGATGGACAGAACTGCAACATGAGAAAAACTTGCTTCTGTGAGCTATGACAGACTCGGTGCAAGAATATTTCTAGATGCCACAAGCACCATCATTCAAACCTGGGGAACGAGAGGACACAACTCCCTTCAACTCTCTGCCATGACACTAAGAGAACTGCTGCCCAGTAAAGGGTTTTAAGAAAAATGCAGCCTCAGGACTCCAGGAAGGGTATAGTCATTCAATTTTTAAGCTTCAAAACCTTGTTATAAATTTCTTACATCCAGAGGATCATAGAATGTTTGGTTTAGTATTAGATCTCATTACAACAAATTCTAAAAGCCTACTTTTCATGCGGAAACTGCTTCATATTTTAAAGATGTGGGCTAGGGGAGCCTGAGTGGCTCAGTCGGTTGGGCATCTGCCTTCAGTTTGGGTCATAGTCTTGGGGTCCTGGGATCCGGCCCCGAGTTGGGCTCCCTGCTCAGTGGGGAGCCTGCTTCTCCCTCTCCCTCATCCCTGCTTATGCTCTCTCTCTCTCTCTCTCTCTCAAATATACAAATAAAAAATCCTTAAGAAAAAAATAAATGAAAACATGGACTAATCATAGAAAATGAATTTTTGGTAGTATTAAGATTTTTGTAATGATAGTATTTATCATACTAGAATTTAACTACCTAATACAAATGTGGATATTTTTTTTTTTTACATTTGTAACTTTAGCCAAAAAAAAAAAAAATCTTGGAAGTTAGGTTTATGGCTTAGACTGCACTTTGGGATATGAAAAGTAAATGTTATAAACCATTCTGAGTGATAGGCATGCAAAAATCACAAATACTTCTTCACAGTGGTTCAGTGACCCACTATTTTAAAAAATAATTTTAAGCTAAAAGACATATTTAGGAAAACATCTGAAATGACAGAATCCATTTTAAATTCATGACTTCCTAGAAGAATTCCAGAACTGTAAGGAAATTAGAAAGTTCATTCAGGCGTGCTGGGTGTCCAGCAAACCAAGGCAGCATATTTTCTTTCCTGTGTTGGGAAGAAGCAGACACCACATTTGCCATAAACACATAGGTGCTTTTAGGCTGGATGTGCAAAGGAGACTATCTGGTGTCCGCAGACCGGCTGCTGATAAATACTTTTTGAAACCAACTAGATAAGTCATCCTTTGAGCTTGAAATGATAGAAAACTGCATTTTCTATGTTTACCGATCTTTTTTGGCAGGGGAGGGGAGTCTCAGGGGATGGTGCTAGTGTCTTATTGACTGTCCAGAAACCTCAATTAACTGTTAACCTTGATGTATTATCAAAATATGAAAGCAGTTTTATTATTCTGGTTTAACTCCACATGAGTTCAGCAAACAGAAGAACTTTGAGCCTCATACAAAAGACAAGCTGGTTTCCTGTCAAGAAAAACTAAATCTGGGCAGCCCGGGTGGCTCAGTGGTTTGGCGCTGCCTTCAGCCCAGGGTGTGAACCTGGGGACCTGGGATCGAGTCCCACATTGGGCTCCCTGCATGGAGCCTGCTTCTCCCTCTGCCTACGTCTCTGCCCCTCTCTCTCTCTCTCTTTCTCTCTCTCTCTGCGTCTCTCATGCATAAATAAACAAAATCTTAAAAAAAAAAAAACTAAATCTTTGCAGGGAGAGAATGCTGGTGCAGAGGATTCAACACTGTCAAAAAGCCGTTCATTCCCCTATTGTGCTAGGCCACACCACTCCATCCACAAGTACAAAGGCAAACCCTGGAGGAACAACAAACGCTGTATACAACCAGGCACAAACCCCAGGCACTCTGGGCAAGCAGGTGTTCGCGGGTGAAGCTGCTACTGTCACAGACAGACAGACTTTCACGCTCTCTGACAGAAGTCCACGGCACCACCCATAACCTGCACCTGCCGTCAAACAGGATCTGAACCGCACCACCCCTCAGGATCTAACTACCGACTCACAAGCGGTGTTGGGGGTCGGGGGACCACAGGAGATGACCTCCGGGGGATGAATTCAGCAAATCCGGACTCTCAAGACACGGGACTGGCTTCCTCGACAAACTTCAAGGGCAAAAAAGAAAAAGAAAAAAAGGGGAGCCTTAATAGATTAAGAGGCCTGGGGGCTTCCGGACTTGACCCAACTGCTAAAAAACACATCAGCTAAATAAACACGTTATTAACCAAGGGATCATATAATAATAGTGACAATACCGTGGCTGTTTGTGTAAGAATCCTTAATTTTTAGAAACGCACTTCGAAATATCCACGGGTGAGTGTGTGCAGGTGAAATGACGATATTTAGGCCCGGCTGTATCCTCCCCCACTACACACACTCACACTCACACACACGTGGAAGTGGCGGTCCCAGGCTCCGGCGTCACCTCGCCGCCTCAGCTCTCCGGGTCCGCCTGTTAAACGGCAGGTGGGAGGCCCCAACCGCTCCGGGTCTCTGGGCCAGAGCGAGCCCGCACGAGAGCCCCCCCGGGGCGGGGGGGTGGGGAGGGCAGTGGCGCCCCGGGCGTCCCGCCGGAAGCGTCCCGCCGGAAGCGCCCCGCACCGCCCCTCTGGAAAGGCAGCGCCTGCCCCCACCTCGCGGAGGCGCCCGCGCCACGTCTCGCGATAGTTACCTCCCGGGCGCCTCGCCCGCGGAGCCCGCACAGGCGCACTGGCCAATGTAAGCGGAGTACAGCTCCTCGGCTTCCGCGTATTCGCCCTTCTGGAAGTGAGCTTGGGCGAGCGTTAGGGCTGCGTGGTTTTGTCGCCCTTGCCGCGCATCCATAGCGCCCGAAGTTTCGGCTTTTTGTGTAGAAAAGGCGGTTGGCTTCTCTGGGCGACGGCGGCGGCGGCACCACAGCCACTTCCGCGCTCCCGGAATGGAACCTGACGGCAAACCCTCGGCGCTCGCTAGCAGAGGGGGGAAGTGTGTGCCTCCCGGGGACCCGTCGTCTCGCGAGACGAACCGCTGGGGGCGGGCGCGGAGCCGGGCGGCGGGGGAGGCTTGGCCGGGGAGGCTTGGCCGGTTCCTCTGCGGCCGGGTTCTCTTCTGACTGCCGGCTCTGCCCGCCTCCTGTTCCAGGAAAGCGGTGGATGGATGGACCCCAGCTGGTTTCCAGGTCCGTGGGCGGGAGTTACGGAGAGCTCGTCCTCGGTTACAGCGCCCACTCGTAACACGACCCTACCCACGAGGACGAGCCGGGGGGGGGGGCAGCGGGTGCCCCGGCGGGTGCCACTGCCGAAGCCCCGCGAGCTTGGGTGACCGAATGCATGTATGTATCCCTGCGTGAGCTCCAGGAGCCTGCACTGCACACCGCCATCCTCAACACTGTGCCGACAGGCCGGCCTGTTGCGCTAGTTCCCGTTCCCTGGCCGGGAATGCCGAAGGGAAACCCGGAGAGTCATTAAGTACACTGTGTCTAGGAATTATGTAAAGAGAGGAGACTAAGAGAACGATTTCAGGAATACAATATTCAGGAATTAACCAAGAACTGAAAGATCTGGGCAAAGGAACTACAAAACAAACTAACAAACGGAAAGACGCCCCCGTGTTCAAGGGACCTACAGATTCAGTGGAATCCATTTCAAAAATCCCAATGATGTTTTTACAGAAATGGAAAAAAAAAAAAAAAACCACCCTGAATTAATAGGGAATTTCAGTGGGACCCAAACGGCCAAAACGATTCTGAAAATAACAGAGTACTCACTTCCTGACTTCAAAACCTAACAATCAATCAAAACGCTATGGTGTTACCATAAGTACGGTCTTTTCAATAAATGTTACTGGAAAAACGATATCCACATGCAAAAGTATAAAGTTGGACAGAAACACCCTATAAAAAATTAACTCCAAATAGATTAAAAACTTAAACATAAGAAGTGAAACAGAAAATTCTTAGAAAAAAACATAAGGCAACAGCTTTGTGACATTGGATTTGGCGACTTCTTGAATAGACCCCAAGGGCAAAACAAACTGGGCTCCGTGAAAATTTAAAACTTTTGTGCATTAAAAGACTATAAACAGGGGATCCCTGGGTGGCGCAGCGGTTTGGCGCCTGCCTTTGGCCCAGGGTGCGATCCTGGAGACCCCGGATCGAATCCCCACGTCGGGCTCCCGGTGCATGGAGCCTGCTTCTCCCTCTGCCTGTGTCTCTGCCTCTCTCTCTCTCTCTCTGTGACTATCATAAATAAATAAAAATTAAAAAAATTAAAAGAAGACTATAAACAGTACGAAGACAACCCAGAGAGTGGGAGAAAATAATCTACAAATCATATGCCTGATAAGGGAAACTGAGATGCTGGGCTGGTGTCATCCATCCACTGTTAAGACACAGAAAGGATTCTGACATGGTGTGTCTGTCCCACTTAACAAGCCCTGGTCTGTAGGACACTGGAGGGCCTGCCCTGTGATTTTGGAGCTGGGCTAGGCTCAGTTTTTGTGCCTCCCTGACTCTCACATCCATCTTCATGGAGTCCTCCTGCACATGGTGCTTTGCCTGGGGGTGGCATCAACAAGCCTCCCTTTTGCCAGCTCACCCAGAAATACGGCAGCAACAAGGTGATCTCCTGAAAGTGTTATGTTCCCCTGCAACCTCATACTGTCAAGTGCTGCATAAAGTGTGGCCACACCAACCACACCCACGCCCTCAGAATAAAGTCAAATAAGGTCCCTCCTTGGGTTCCTCCTTCCCCTGCAGGGCAGCCTCTTGCCTAAGCCCCATGGCCCTGGGGCCTCAGTAAAGCTTTACTTTAGTTGACTAAAGCAGTGAAAAAAATACAGACACATACACACCCACATACATCTACTGTCCCCCTCCGCCCCCCACCCCCGAATATATAGAGAACTTCTAAAACTCAACTTTTCCAGAGCAGGTCTACTATTTTGCATTTGCATCAACAGTGTATAAGGGTTTCAGTTGTTTCATACGCTTACCAATACTTGGCAGTTTTAATTTTAGCTAATAGAGGATGTGTGAGCATATCCTATTTTTCTCTGGATTTTATGAACTAGAAATTTAAGCTATGGCAATAAGCGAGTAGTTAAATAAAATATTAACTCTAAGCCTCTTCATGTCTACTTTTTCTTTTAATTTTAGAGAAATTTCTTAAGAATAGCTCGTCATGAAGAAAACTTACAATAATTTCTTCAGTTTGACCAGGTTTTTCTTCTAAATTCAACTAAACCATACATTAATGCCTCTCATTTTAAAAAGGTTATTAAAATCATTTTTACTTCTCATCTCTCATAAATGCTCTATATACTTTTGTAGTTTTCTACCATGGACATATGTTACTCCTCCAAAAATATGCTTATTCTCAGAAAATAAGCATTAATTTCTTAAAAAAATTATCTGAGAATAATTTAAGAATAGACAACATAATAGAGGGCAACATAATATTGCCATTTTCCTTTTTTTTTGCCATTTTCATTTTAGAAACTCAGGAGCAATATCTTAGAGCTATAACATTATCAAGCACTTCAGATATTCTCTTGAAAGTCTGGTAAAATAATTTCCCCCCAACTTCTAAATGAGAACTCTGCATGGCTTCTAGAGTAATTCACTGCAACTTCTAGTCATCTGACATTTGCCTAGTACCTTCCTAAGTGGTCTTTTCTGTTTGGTAGCAAAAAAAAAAAATGACATTATACATCTCCTGGACCTCCTTGTCCCTTTCTCTCCTCCACTCTGCAGCCTAACACCCTCTTAATCAATCCCCACCAAAATATTTAAATCAAACCAAAACAAATACCATGCTATCCGTAAGGTATAGGTAAAGGAAACTGGAAATAAATACAAGCATTTTTACCTCAATACTTACTATTTTTTTTCCTTTTTTTTCTTTACTTAGTGCCACATGAAACCTAAAATCTCAGCTCTTGGAATACAAAATGATCATTCAAAGTGTATTTTAGTGGGATGCCCAGGTGGCTCAGTGGTTGAGCGTCTGCCTTTGGCTCAGGTCAGGGCATGATCCCCAGGTCTTTGGATTGAGCCCCACATCAGGCTCCTCTCGGGAAGCCTGCTTTTCCCTCTGCCTATTGTCTCTGCCTCTCTCTGTGTGTCTCTCATGAATAAATAAATAAAATCTTTTAAAAACAAACAGAAAAAACCTAAAATGTATTTTAGCAAAAAAATGTGTAATAAAGTCATTTGTGTATGATAGCAGGTCAACAATGTTATATTGCTTGTTAAGCATGTTATCACTATAAACTTCATCAGTTGGACCCATCATCTCAATACTTTGGCCTACCAAAGTTTTTTGAAACTCTGAAATGTAATATAATTTTACTTTGAAACTTCACAAAATTCAGGCCAAGTTTTATGATAAAGAACAACTCAGCATGACTTAAATGGAATCCTTACAGGTTTCTTACAGGAAAAGAACATAATTGTTTCATTATACTGTCTTCAGTATATGCATCATTCTGTCCAACTTCTTCCCAAGTATTTGCTACATATAGACAATTTTGCTTCTCTTTACTCCTTTCATCAGGAAAGAGTTTGTTTTTGTTGTTATACTAAAATTATCTTCAGGATGAAGAAACCAAATTAGGTCAATTCATACTATGGATCTTTCCTTAGTATTTTTAAGCAAGACAAAGGTCCCCAAGATATTATGGCAGATTACTAAAACTTTCAGAAATATAAATCCCAAACAGGCATAAGCTCTCACAATAGTAGAAAAGATATATCTGTATATATGTGTTGTTACATGTATTTATACACAATCTATCTCTATGTGATAATTAGGTATACAAGGTATAATGGTTGTTTTCAGGGATTGTGGATTGAATTAAGCTGAATAAAAAGTAGAGGAACTCAGGATATACCTGAAATAATTCGTTGGAAGAAAAAGTCTAGGGTTCAAGCAACATGGAATTAGTGGCAAATGAGAAGGCTCTAAAAGGAGAGTTCCCAAAAGATATGTTAGGAAAAGTTTGAGGAGCCAACAGCTGATTTTGGAATGAAAGCAACAGGGAGTATATCAACAAGCACAGTAAGGTCTAGAGGAGTGACAATCTAAGTGAGTTCTCAGCTGATTCCTGGGATAGGAAAGGAAAAGTGAAAGAAGATATATCAGGAATTAGACCACAGACTAAGAATCACAACTCTGAACATCAGTCCTGCATCTTTCATTGATGAAGTGGAGAATAATTTTATTCTGAAAACAGAAAGTCTTATAAAAAGATGTAAGTAAGGGGTGCTTGGCTGGCACAGTCGGTTAAGTGTTTGACTCTTGGTTTCAATGCAGGGCACGTCAGGGTCGTGAGATTGAGCCCCATGTAGGACTCTGCACTCAGCATGCAGTATGCTTGAGACTCTCTGTCCCCTTCCCTCTGCACCTCCTGCTCGTGCTCTCTCCCTCTCTTTCTCTCTCAAATAAACAAATGAATTTTTTCTTAAAAAAAGATGTAATTAAGCTCAACAAGAGATACATTCCATAGGGTTGAGCTTTTTGATAGTATGTAATTTTCTGATTTGGAAGACCATTCTATTCTAGTCATAGAAGAAAACAAATCAGATGAAATTGTTAAATAAGTAGGTGACTTATGAGGTGTATTAGACAAAGTTAATAGAGCATAAATGTATGATCATACCTCATATTAAAGAGGCACTAGGAGTACAAAAGGCAACCAACGTACTATTCATGACACACTAAATATGCAAGAGACTTGTAAATTGTGCAATATGTGTGATAACTTCATTCAATTACCCATTGGTGACACTTACTCTGGTCAGTCCTCTGCCCAAGAAATACAATCAAATCCATGACTGTTCAGCCAACTAATTGGCAACCTATGTTCTGACCTGGTGTGCAATATCCCCCCTTCTATACAGCAAGTGTCCATCACTAGCTTTAGGCACATTCCATGTGACTGTGTCACTTGGCTCAAACCTCGGCTCTGGCCCATACTATCTTTATAACCAT